AGATTGGCCGCAGGTGCGATGCCGCAGATATGGTTGGTTTTACACAGAAGCGGAGCTGGGCTGGCCTGGGCAGGGAGCAGGTGCGAGGGTTTAACCGCATCTGCGAGCCAACAGGTGCGAGCGAGGCTCCGTAAATGTGGAGTTGAGGGAGGCCTGTTTCCGCAAAAGCGGCTCCACAGGTGCGGAACATGGAGCGCAGATGCGGGCCTAGGGGACTTAATTAGCTTCGGCAGAAGCATAGAATTTACCGGAGAAGTGGTTCCGCAGGTGCGTATATATGGCCACAGGTGCGAAAAGCCTGGACAGATTATTAAAACAAGGGTTCGCGATTTTGGCTTCATTTCAAACATTTCAAGCACAGTTTAGGCAATTTTTGAGAGGGTTTTCGAGGGTATTCTTGAGGTAAGTCCCTTGTACTTATTTTTGATCAATAATATTGCTTCCACATTGATTTTTCCACCTAGTTGGTGTGTGTTTAACGTGTAAATTGGGAGTTTGAGGCTAGGGATTTAGAGAATTCGATTTGGGGATTTGGGTGATGATTTGGTGTCGGATTTTGATAAATTTGGTATGGTTAGACTCGTGGTTGAGTGGGCTTTCGGGTTTTGTGACTTTTATCTAATTTTGAGACGTGGGCCCGGGGGCGACTTTTGAGCCGATTTTTGATTTTGATTAATAGCTTAGCATTTTCTTATGGAGTTGACTCCTTTAGCCCGTATTGATTTTATCACATTGTTTATGGCTAGATTCGAGGCATTCGAAAGCCGTTTCGCGAGGTAAGGGTGTGTTGGAGTAGAGATTTGCTCGGACTGAGGTAAGTTACAGTTCTAAATTTGGTTCTGATGGTACGAAACCTCCTATTACGTGTCATGTATTTGGTTTTGAGGTGACGCGTATGCTAGGTGACGGGCGTGTGGGCGTGCACCATGGAAATTATGACTTGATCAAATTCCATGGAACTGTGTAGTTAAATAATCTGTTGTTATCTGTACATTCTCCATGTATTAGAGAAATTAAACCACAAATCATGTTTAGACTACGTAATGGCATTGTAGGGACCCACTGGGGTCGTGTACATGTTGAATTATCTACTAAATTATTGTTTTGTACTTAGTCACAATTTATTTGTATATTACATCTCAGTCTTTATTGTTCATTTTTGATGCATTATATCATTGTTGTCTGGGCTGATAATTATGATTCCTGAGAGCCCGAGAGACTGAAGAGGTTGATGACTGAGTGAGGCCGAGGGACTGAATGTGAGATATTAAACTATAATATGTGAGTTGTCCGTGCAACACGCGAGTTGTCTGTGCGGATTCAGATATTATACTATAGCACATGAGTTGTCCGTGCAACACGCGAGTTGTCCGTGCGGATCCAGATATTATATTATAGCAAGTGAGTTGTCCGTGCAGCACTTGAGTTGTCCGTGCGGATTATAGCGCTTGGGTTGAAGTAACCCCTCCGGAGTCTGTACACACACTCAGTGAGCGCAGGTACCTACTGAGTATGAGTGCTGAGTGAATGGGAGGGCTGAGCGATTGTGTCCCTGAGAGGAGGTATTTGATTTCATATTTTGTTACACTTAGCTGCCATGTATCACTGTCTTGAAAATTTCTTAAAGATATTACACTCTGTTTCAGTTGAACTTGACATGAAAATTACTGTTTTGGTCTTAATTGTCGAACTTGAAAGCATGCCTACCTTCCTATGTTAAAATTACTGTAATTGAACTATAACTGTAAAGCTCGTCACTACTTTCAGTTCTTTATTTAGTGTTGTTACTTACTGAGTTGGTTGTACTCATGCTATACCATACACCTTGTGTGCAGACCCAGGTGCATCCGGTCACGGCGGTTGCTGAGTTGTGGAGTTCGGATTCTCGGAGACTATCGTAGTAGTTGCTTGGTATTTCGCAGACCTTGGTTCTATTTTCCTATCTTTCCACTTATTGTATTTAGTTTCAGATTATCATAGATAGTATTTTCCGGACTTGTGAGGTATAGATGCTCATGTACTCAGTGACACCCCGATGTTGGAAATTTTTGCATTGTATTTTTTGATTTTCTATCATATTTACGAGAAGTTGTTATCATTTAAACTGCTTTAAATCCGTTTTCTGTTAAGGGTTGGTATTATTTCATAAATGTCGGCTTGCCTAGTACCACGATAGGTTCCATCACGATAGGTTAGACTTTTTGGGTCCTGACATATTATGACCTCGATCGCTTCTTTTTTCATTCCTCGACGGGTTACGCCAGATCTACTGCCCCTTCCATCTCCGCTATACGGTTGATACCGATCTCTGCTTGGTCTTGGTTCATGATCGACGACTATTTTAGACCTGTCATTAGTTCTGATGGGATACACGGACCCAGAGTGGGCCCCGAGCTGATCATCCACGACTCTGATTTTTGATTGGTACCTGTTATAGACGTCAGCTCAAGTTACCGCCGAGTACTCTATCAAATTTTGTTTCAGCTGCTGTGAAGCCAAGGAGCTTTGGGGGTTGAGTCCTTGAGTGAATGCTTGAACAACCCAATCATCTGCAACCGGGGGCAGATCCATCCTTTCCAATTTAAACCACGATACGAATTCCCTGAGTATTTCATTATCTTTTTGTTTCACTTTAAAGAGGTCCGATTTTCTAGTCTCATTTACCCAACAATATTCTTGAAGAAACCTCGAAAAATCGCCTCACACCGTGCTCTCAAAGTCCCAAAATCGAAATGGGAATCAAACCCTCAAAATCCCATTTTTCTACCTAGTTCTTCCGCATCTGCGGACCCACTGTCGTACCAGCGATGCCGCACCTGCAGACTTTCCCTCGTTTGATGTCTCGTCTGGAGCACATAGAGAAATAGCATGTAACAAGTTGGATAAGGAAAGAAGGATGTAGCAAGGATCGATTTCCACTGAAAAACTAGAGCGAAATACAGAAAAATTGAAGATGAAGGAAAAGCAAAGGAAATGAGATGAGCGAAGTCTTCAAAAGTGGAGAAAATGGGAGAAGTCTGATGTTTTAGGATTGTTTTATGGGGGTAATTTTGTATAAGGAACAAGTAAGTAATTTCGTTGGTCAAACTAAAATAGCTTTTAAGACAAAAACGGAGAAGTTAAAGCCAGCCAACTTGTGCCTTTTGGCTCTTTTTAAGCACTTTTTAACTTTTTAAACAGCTTTTTCTTTTGCCAAATACTCCAAAAAATTAAAAATACTTAAAAGCTGATTTTTAAGCCAACCAAATGGCTCTTATTAGCTTCCCACTTGACTTGACGTCCTTACCATTACTCTCCGTTTATTAAATGAAAATAATAGAAATTAATCGAAAAGTACATTAATTCAAGTAACAAGCTAATAAAAAATTATATTAGTAATGTAATAATACTAAATAGTGAAGAATATAATAAAAAATATAAAATAAAAAAGTTATTCGATGGCCATATAATTCGCTTCAATTAATATCATAAAGATTTTATTATTAGGTACATTCTATTGAAAAATAAGATGCCAATAAAAATGTATTAAAATAATATGACCTGTTGTGCTCAAATAAGTCAAATCATAATTTGTCAAGTTTCATTAGCTCTATATAAATCACGCTAATGCTAATACTAATTTAATTTAATATAAAAAAAGAAGAAAATAGCATACTAGATTAGATACTTTGAAAAGGTCCAAATATGCCCTTATACTATACGAAATTGAGCACATTTGCCCTTCGTTAATACTTTAGCTCAAATATGCCCTTACCGTCACATAGTTGGTCCATATATGCCCTTAGAGTTACACAGGTGGCCCATATATGCCCTTTTCGAAACGGAATCCACCCAAACTAATTAGCTCTTTTGTTAATTGTATTAAAGTATATTACAAACACTATTTCCTTTTTATTAGTACTTTTTTTTTCTTTACCTTTCTCTTTTCTTTCTTTTTTTTTTTCTTTTCTTCTCTTTTTTTTTTCCTTTTTCTTTCTCTCTTATCCGATTTCCTCCATTACTGATGTCTTCTCCATTTTTATCACCAATTTCACTTGACAAAACTCATAAATTCTAATTACTAAGAAAATTCTCCCATAAAAATATTTTTATAGATCATATATTTTTTAATTTTTAATTTTTACTGAACATATATTTAGTTCTAAAAAATTTAACAAAGTAAGATTGAAATAATATTTATGTAACAAAAAATTCGAAAATGCAACAAAACCGAACAATCCAAACCGATATAATTGGTTTGGTTTGATTTTGATAAAAAAATCAAAATCAAACCAACCCGTTCCATGTACACCCCTAATCTACATAGTTAATAAAAAAATAAAAAATATCCAGCTGAAAAAAGACTAACAACTCAAATTTATAACACTACAACTTGAACTCTAGGTTTTTAATCATTAAATTATCTTTCTGGAAATAATTTAAATATTTTGGTCTTTTGAGTATTGTTAAAGGTTGAGATATTTTTATTATTTTAAATTTTAAACCATAATTTTTGGAATAATTTAATTTTATTTATTTAGAGGGCCAGTGAAATTGGAACTTGATTATCTTATGGGAGAATTTTCTTAGTAATTGGAATTCATGAGTTTTGTCAAGTGAAATTAGTGATGAAAATGGAGAAGACATTAGTAATGGGGAAATGGATAAGGGAGAAAGAAAAATAAAAATAAAAAAAGAAAAGAAAAAAGAAGAAAGAAAAGAGAAAGATAAGAAAAAAAATACTAATAAAAAATAAATAGTGTTTGTAATACACTTTAATACAATTAAAAAAAGAACTAATTAGTATGAGTGAATTTCGTTTCAAAAAGAGTATATATATGTCAACTGTGTAACTTTAAGGTCATATATGGATCAATTATGTGACGGTAAACATATATTTGAGCTGAAGTATTAACGAAAGATAAATGTGTTAATTTAACATAGAATAACGACATATTTGGACTTTGCCCTTGAATGCCACGTAACAAACTGTAGTATTTTCCTCCGTACGCAACCAAGTGGCTCCAAAATATATCAGCAAAATCGCTGTTCTACCGTTGGCTTAGCAACAGCAGCAGCCAACCAGAAGATTCCCCCTCACCTCCGCCACTGAATAGTCGATGCAAATGACCGGAATATTCGCCGACGTGTCCGTTGTTCTCCCGTCCAATGCCGGCGGCGGTTTGAAACAGTTCCACGCATTCTCCGAGCCCACCAAATCCTTCCTCTCTCATTCTTTCTCCAAAGTAAGAAATATATTTGGTTTCAGTACAGTCGTCTCATGGTATTCTGTAGAAACTAGATAAATTAGTATCTTAATTTGACTCAGTAAATACTTACGTGTAAACTCGTTGTTAATTATGTGAAGATAAAGGTCACAATTGGCAGTAGCCGCTTTTTTTGGTTGAAGAGTTAACACAAAAAAAAAGAGCTTAGTGGTGATTAGCATATGTAGACGTTCCGAATGAAACAATTTCACTACTATTTATTATTATTATTATTATTATTATTATTATTATTATTATTATTATTATTATTATTATTATTATTATTATTATTATTATTATTATTTTAATTAGGAGACTGAACATGATTATTTTGAAGAGGAAACAACAGAGATATGAAAATATAAAAATAATCAAATAAAATTAAGTAGTAGGGAAATGTGTAATGATTCAGTCTTGAGAAGTACACGAATTGGGAAAATAAGTATGGAGGTCTGGTTTTCGCATAGTTTATTTTTGTGTTATTATGAAAAATAATTAAAAATTTGCTCTCCTGTATAGCATAGGAATGTTCCAAAATTAGTGCCTATGTCCATTTCGATTCACATAATTATAGGAAAGGTGAAGTAGAAGTTCAGTGTGCACTACTTCTAAAGGATTAATACCTGATTAGATAGAAAAACTCTGTGACGAGCATAATGCAGATTGAAAGGTACTCAGATGCCAAAGTTAATATGATATATTTTGGCTTGAAAACCAAATTCATTGATTGTCGATTTGAGAAAGAATATTGGCGTACCCTTCGGTTTTTGCAAGAAAATGCCGGATTATAGTTGTTGAGGAAATAAGTTGGGAGGTAGTCTAAATACCATGAACACTGGAAACTGTATCATGAAAAAGGCTTTTGAGAGCACTAGGGCATTGCATGTCTCTTTTTTCCAATGATCCATATGCTTGTTATGAATTTCTAAAAGTTTAACATGAAAATAGGATGCATATCACTAATTGAAATGTGCATGTTCAATTCCTTTTTTGGGGTATAACTGTATAAGTAAGTAAATTTTGTCACCAAAATAGCACTAAGAAAGTGTTAGAATTTATACAAAATAAGGACTTAAGTTCCCATCTATGATACAAGGAGTCTACAAATGACTGTTGTAATGATTTACATCCTTCATTTTACACCAAAATGATAGAGAATGTAGACAAGTAGCTTTACGTAATGTAGTGCAGTTGTTTTCCCTTCAAAACATCTGGATTTTCTCTCTTTCCATATTGTCCATTTGGTGCATAGAAGTATAGTGTTCTGTAAATCCTTAAGCTGCTTTGTCATTGGCCGCCACGTCCTTCACATTGTTTGACACTGCCCATCGTACTCCTAAAAGGCTTTTGAACATGCTCCATATAAATGAAGAAACAGTTTCTCTGGATCTTCTTTTGCCCTGGAATACAGAGAGCATGTACTGCATATAATCAAATCAAATTGATTTTGTAGCTACCAAGATTCCCAGAAAAAGAAGAAGAAGAAGTAAGGTTCACACTGCAGATGAAACTAACTTATATTCATCATCATTTTTGACTTTTGCTTATCTTGGAATTCATGGTTCCTTTATCCCTGTTAATGATGATCAATGTCCACTTTTCAAAGTTCTCGATTAAGGTTTAAGGATCTTTTTGTTCCTCTATTTTTCCTTTATATGTCTAAATATTGATCTGCTGTTTGATGCACTGACAAATTTACTCCCTCAATTTCAACTTGGCTATCTTTTTTGACTTTCAACAATTTAGTTAAAAATGTTTTAACTTACATAACTTGAGGTATAAGTGTTTACATCACATAGGCTCAACTTGGTATATTTGCATTTTGGAAACCCTTAAGGTACCTATTTCACCTACCTGATATTAAAGTTCTCAGAGCCAGTGATCAATAGTTGAATTCATTTCATGTAACTGGAAATGGAAAATAATAGAAGTAGAGTACAAAAGTGACTGAAATAGAGGTGGATGCATTAGACATATGATCGAGGAGAAACATTCATCACTAACATTTAAAGACATATCACTTCTTCTTGAAGATACATTGAGTGTGGTCTGGTAAACTTAAAATGTGTAAAGATATCTTCTCGGGACCATTTGTTTGGCTTTACATCTTCAGAAAGATTGGCTAATCAAGTGCATGAAACATGTTTTTTGTGCCGAAAACCTTTTTGATCAGATGCAAATATGTTAAATTTGGATTTTCTTCTGTAAATATCTATGGTTAAAGGAGAAGTTTGATTTGGAGTTCATAGTTTGAAGTTTATTTATGCCAGATTGTATGCTTGAGTGATGGAATTTGGAATCGTATAACCTGATTTAAGGGCTTACAGATATATTGGTTCGTTGTTTACTTACCCCTTCCTTTTTGGGTCGGGGGCTTAAAAGAAGAAAAGGTTGTTGTAGTTTAAATAGTACGCGATGATTGTACTCTCTGCGGCTTCATCTGATATATCTTTCTCAAGAAGTAAAAAAGAAACGATTCAATTTGACCATTTAGCTGATTTTAAAATTGTATGCCAATGTTTTACCTGCACAAGATAGGGTAAGGTCTGCGTACACTCTACCCTCCCCACACCCCATTTGTGGGAATTCACTGGGTTTTTTGTTGTTGTTGTTGTTGTTGTTGTTTTATGCCAATGTTCTTGACAGAGGGTCATGTAGGTGCACTAATTTCTAGCTTCCAGTTTTCACAAGATAAATTTCTTTAATACCTGTAATAATCTTACATTTATTGCCTGTAATAATCTTACTTTCTTCTGCAGAGCTCCCCTTTTTCTGTCCCGAGGCTAGGAATTGGGCCAGGAAAGGCCCAAACCAGAAACTGGATGATAAGAGCTACATCATCAGGAAGTTCAGGAGGTGATTTGGTCCCAGTTGCTCCTGTTCAGTTGGAGTCTGCTGTTGGTCAGTTTTTAGCACAGATGTTACAAACCCATCCGCATTTGCTCCCTGCAGCTATTGAACAGCAGCTGGAGAACCTTCAAAATGAACGGGATACCCAATTAAAGGAAAATCAGCCTTCGTCCAAAGATGTCCTCCATAAGTAATTTATTTGATCTTTGTTTTTTTCTTTTTAATATTTGCTTAGTGAGTCATACTTTAGTTATCGTTTCCTACAGCCAAGGCTATATATATAGATATGCCTGATAGAAATTCATTTTGAATTTCAGGAGAATAGCTGAAGTTAGAGAGAAGGAAAGGCGGAAAGTGTTAGAGGAGATTCTATACTGCTTAAGTGTACATAAATTTGTAGACAATGAAATTTCGTTGATCCCAAAAATATCTGAAACATCAGATCCTACTGGAAGTGTGGGTTTTTGGCCAAATCAAGAGCAGAAGCTAGAATCTATTCACTCCGCTGATGCATTTGAAATGATCCTAAGCCACATATCTATAGTTCTTGGTGAGCGTGAAGTGGGGCCTCTTGATAGCATTGTTCAAATTAGCAAAGTCAAACTTGGTAAGCTCTATGCTGCTTCTATTATGTATGGATATTTCCTCAAAAGGGTTGACGAACGTTATCAACTCGAGAGGAGTATGAGTAAGCCTCCTGAGAGTTTCCAGATCTCAACGAATCCTGATGAGCCAGCAGCACCAAGACAACTATGGGATCCGGAGTCATTGATAGAAATTTACCCTGAAGATGGTGACAGAGAAGGTTTAGCGGATTCTGATATTGAGGGTAAATCACAAAGGCTGAGATCTTATGTGATGTATTTGGATGCGGAGACACTACAGAGATATGCAACCTTAAGATCAAAGGAAGCAATTTCTGTGATTGAAAAGCAGACGCAAGCATTGTTTGGACAGCCTGATATTAAAGTTTCTGACGATGGTACGCTAGATGTATCTAATGATGAAGTTCTCTCTGTTACATACTCTGGTTTGACAATGCTGGTTCTGGAGGCAGTTGCTTTTGGATCATTTTTATGGGAGGCAGAAAGCTATGTTGAATCTAAATACCATATCATTAATAACTAGAGGTATTCTTTTGTTCATTAAGAGGAAACTATTAATGATCTTCTAGCTCTGCAAATTGTATACTTGTTCAAAACCACTAAGCATGCATTGTGTATCTGATAATTATCAAGCCCATATACACATTATATTTTGACAAGTACACTGCTATATGATACAAACTCAAAATTTGAGCTTTCAACTCCACAAGATGCTGATGTCCAGTGTGGTTTTGGCAGCCCATGAGATGCAGAAGACTGAGCGTTGTTCATGCTCGGTCGTACTCATGACCGCATTAGGTGTCAAAGGTGAACAACCACTAGTCAAGGGAAAAGTAGGGAAAATGGACTCCTAACTTTGCAAAATTGGTTTTGAGTGCTGGAAACGGGGTCCTAGTCCTAGTCCCACACCCATGGGTTGTTGGTAGATTGCTTGAGCTGCTCCCCGGTGAGAGGGGTAGTTGCGTGGCACCGGGGGGGGNCAGCAAGAAAAGAGAACTTTATTGTTTGACTCTTAGGTCCTGAATAGTTGTTTATTTTATTATTATCCGTTAATAATATTTGGGACTTTGAGATGCTAACTTATTTTTACCTTGTGAAACAGAAAAGTAGGCATGCTTATTAGTCTTTCTCCCAACAACAAAAGAAATCACTGCAATGGAGTGGTAGTTTCTTACCCATCTCATGCATGATTCAGATAGCTAATGATGAAACCTAACTATAAAGAGTTGCCAGGTCACTTATCTTTGTTTGAGGAAGTTACTGTAACTTTTTCACTTTTAAGGCACTTGAGTTTTCTGTATCCAGAATTGGAAGTGCCTTGCTCATTTGGTGCCAGACACCTAGAAAACCAGAAGCCAAAAGCTTTTTTAAATGATTTTGTGATGCGAGAATGAATTTAGTGCTTTCATCACTGGGCCTACATGAAAACAAAGATATCGAGAGGCGGATTCAGGATTTAAAACTTATGGGTTCAGGATTCTAGTTTTTTTAAGTTACTAGGTTCTAACTTAATAATTTGCGTATATTCAATGAATTTCCTAAAACAAATATATTAATTGGATCAAAGCTACTCGGTTCGACTGAACCCGTAGTCGAAGGGCTTGAGTATTGTATTTTAACTAGGTATAGACATACAAATACAAGCCTAATGATGACTCTACAGTTATCCTAGTTGTTTTCCTCTTTAGAGTGTCTAGAGCACATATATTTATAACTAATGTTGTGGGGAAAATTAGTGCCGTGAATGACTAACTTCAAAGTTTGAATGCATTATTGACATTTGGGTACTTCAACTCAATTTCCAGCCTTTTAAGGTTTTATGGGTCTCTTTTTTTTTNTTAAGTTTCTGTCCCTCGCTATTCGCGGATCCACTCACGGACAAAATTTAAAGATGTATAGAAAAAGAACTTTGTGAAAACTAGTCTGCAGTATTTGTATCGTCTAATAATAATTTTTTTTGTTGATGTACGCGTTTAAGATTAATCGAATTTAATAATTAAACATAAAAATTAATATGAAACCTAAATAGTGATATGTTCTATTTAATTTTAAATTATCGAAATACCATTTCAACTTCGAAAGATATAAGAAATCTTGACATATGAATATGGAAGAAGAAAGAGATGATTGACCCATTTTAATAACACTTGATAAGAAAGTGATATAACTCATTATTTAAAGTAAATAAAAATGAATGCACTTCATAGTTTTATTAAATATTACATCTAATGAGAGGATCTCAAATATTTCTAGACATTTTTTAAAGAAAATTCTATATAAAGTCTTAAAAAGTATATATAAATATTACATATTTATATGTTGGTTTGGTTCGGATTTTTTTTACTCAATACCAAATCAAATCAAATCAAATCAAATCTAGTCGGATTTTTTAATCGGTTTGATTTGACTTTTCGATTTGATGCGATTTTTCGATTTAGTTTGAACACCCCTGCTTCAGGCATTGGAGTAATGCTGGATTTTGGTTATACCCTTAGCTACCCAAGCTTATACCTTTTTAGGTCCAGTTTAGCAACACATTTAACAAAATTCTGTTTACAGCCAGTTCAACCAATTAGCAGTTTCAGAAGATGCTATTATTGACAGTTCATACCTATTATTTTTATGATATACCTATCCTAAGTTTTCAATGGTTCGGTAGCGAGCTCTTTTATCAGCGATAATTATCGCCACAATCAATGGATAGTAACATATTAAAATCATATGTAGCAAAACTGTTTTCGTTTTCACAGCCTGACTTTGGACCCTTTTTTTCTTTACTCTTTCACCAGTTTGACTTTGGTCCCCTCACACGACCAAATTTGGGAAATCTATTAGTCCTTTCGATGTTCCCCTTTCAATTCCATAACAAGAAGTCATACCAAAGGATCAAATACTTTTCATAATTTTGGGAAACTGTGAAGAATATAACAAACTCAAAGTATCAAATCACTTTAAAATTCAGCTTCATGCTAACGGGAAGAAATGTAAATAAAATAAAACTAATTCACCTGTATATATGATTAATGTTCTTTCTAAAGTTAACTTAATTGATGCTTGCATCTAGTGCAGTAATTTTCCTTTAGCGTTGGATCTGTTTTGCCTTGATTTCACCCTTAAAAGTTTAAGCTTGAAAACGATATTAATTTTCGTATATTAAACTTTTAATTCACTCTAAATATCAAATTAATCCTACAAATTTATAAGTGTATACGGTCAAAACCGATTCGAGTCAGTCGTACGGACTGATCGAGACGATAATGATTCGATCAAAGGATATCTGCATGACAAGCTCAGTCAAGGTCCGAAGTAAGGGCGGCGAACTTGGAGCTCTAAGACCGATCAATGACAAGCTCGATATCATTATCGAGCCCATATCCAAATCGAACTACGAGGCAAAGCGGAGATTATCGAAGATGCATGGACCGACCAACATTCACCCCGAATACCGAGACCCTAAGTCAGAATCGAGCTCGGACCAAGGCCGAGGGCTCGAGCCAGTATCGAGCTCGCAGATTAGGGCCGTTGCAACCGCACTATAGGAGAGAATCTTGTCGGAAATCGAAAAAAAGACAATACATCATGGGCTCTCCACTACGTATTTTTTATTGTATATAAAGTAGGATCCCTCTACTATAAGAGGGACGACAACAAAAGATCTCGGGGACACATGAAAAGATATCCCCTTGTACTTGTTTTACTCATTCTTTTTGCTCACTGTTTTCATTCTCATAGTCAAGAATACACATATTTCTATTTCTCTACACGATTTATATCAAATTATATCGCATATCCTTAGAACCATACACAAATCTAACGTTATCCGATTTTTTGGGTAAACAGTTTGGCGCCCACCGTGGGGCTAAGGGTAACAGTGATTGTTTGATACTAATCTACAATACACACCAGTTTACAACTTCAGATCAACAATGGCAACCCTCGATTAATGACTTTGCCTATCGACCACGAAGCTGGCCTTCAAGATGAAATCAACGACTTGACACCCAGGGACGGAAGGCGAATTAACGATGTCACCGAAGCTCGAGTCGAAGCACCACTAGGTGTTAATTCACAAGTGGCTCTTGAAGCGAACCAATATTCCGAACCGGAAAAAAGCATTCAGAGCGGTACTCGATCCGTAGCTCGAGACACCCATAACGCGGAGGAGATCGGAGTCAGCTTACAGATGATCTTCGAGATGTTGCAAGCCCAGCAAATAGCGATAGCTCAGTTGCAGAGCCAAACTCAGGAATAAAGCAGGTCGGAGCCCAATCTGATTCGAGAAATCACCCACAGAACAGAACCGTTCATAGTGAAGTCAAATGAACTAGAATCGGGGACTACTCCCGAAATTACTAAATTGCTCTAGGAACTCACAAAACGAGTCGAAGCCAACGATAAAAAAGTAGAAACATATAATTTCAGGGTCGATCAGATCACGGGAGCTCCACTAATGATTAAAGGGCTAGATTAGAAGAAATTTATTCAAAAGCCTTTTCCCTCGAGTGCAGCCCCAAAACCAATCCCCAAAAAATTCCGTATGCCCGAAATACCCAAATATAACAGAATGACCAACCCCAACGAACACGTTACTTCTTACACGTGTGCCATCAAGGGCAGTGATTTGGAAGATGATGAGATCGAATCTGTATTATTGAAAATATTCGGTGAAACCCTGTCAAAGGGGGCAATGGTATGGTATCATAATTTACCATCTAACTCTATTAATTCTTTTGCTATGCTTGCAGATTGCTTCGTAAAAGCATATGCTAGAGCCATAAAGGTTGAAACCAGAAAGTCGGACCTGTTCAAGGTAATACAAAAGGATAACGAGATGCTAAGGGAGTTTGTAGCTCGTTTTCAAATGGAACGAATGGATCTGTCACCAGTCACGGACGATTGGGCTGTTCAAGCTTTCACTCAAGGTCTAAACGAGTGGAGCTCGATGGCTTCATGGCGGCTGAAGCAAAATCTGATCGAGTACCCAGCTATTACTTGGACCGATGTGCACTATCGATATCAATCCAAAATAAGAGTCGAAGATGACCAGTTGATTTCTAGGCCCGTTACGAAAAAGCAAAAGTCGACCAGAGATCGATACCAGCCATATAGCAGAAACGATACTACTGCTGAGTATCCGAGGCCTCTTTAAAATCAACCTCGTATACTAGGGGGCTTTATCATTGAACGCATCTGTGACGATTATCAAGTTCGGTGCGAAGGAAGTTACTTCATTATTTCATGACAAACAGTGTCTCAACAGGAAACGTTGTAAGAGCCAAATGGTCAAAACGAACCATGCTTGTGTAGTTGGCCCGAGCCCTGACGCAAAACATGAACCCATGTATAATGACTTGCAAAAAAGCCCTCTTCTTTACCAATATTCTATGTTCAAGATTTATTATGCAAACAGGATCGAGATCGAGCAAGCGCTCACTCGACCATTACGCCTACAGGCTACATTATTTCGAGTTCGAATCATTCACTCGACTACAAAGCCTACGGGCTACTTTTATTTCGAGTTCGAGCAAGCACTCACCTGACCATTATGCCTACGGGCTACTTTATTTCGAGTTCGAATCATTCACTCGACTACTAAGCCTACGGGCTACTTTGACTATTACGCCTACGGCCTACTTTGTTTCGAGTTCGAATCATTCACTTGACTACTAAAGCCTACGGGCTACTTTTATTTCGAG